TGTGCTAGACTTCAATAAAAGCGCGAATTTGACAAAAATAGTATTCTGTAGAACCATGATTTTGGAGTTTTCAAACAATATGATGATAATTGTCCAGTCTCACCACAGAAGTAAGGTCTGTATACATATTGCAAAAGAGTGAAAAAGTCTGATTCTAATTAACTGCTTCTGACTATAACCAATTGTCTTTAAATGACCGATAAATGAGTAAAGACTTCGTGCCAAGACTTTCGCATCATGTATTATTATGTTTTTCTCAAAAAACTATGGCCTAATCATAGATATATTTCTCGCTGCTATGATCTTATTGGTATTGTCGCAATGGAAAAAAGATGATTTGGATTCGAGATTAATAATTCTCTTGAGATAAAATTATAATCTTAAAATTCAAACCATTGGGAAGTGACAAAGTGTTACAATAATCTTAAAAAGACTTACTAAAAAAGACAAGGTAGAATTAGATCATACAATAAAAATATTTGAAACTAGATATTACAAATTCAGACAAAGTCGTTCGGCAGTAATTTGATAGAAGTAGTCAAATGTCACAGTGTTACTGGAAATGTTTATTATAACAAATTAAAAACTCTTTCAAAAATACTTGAGTACCATCGAAAAGTCTTGAATATTAATGAGAAACTTCTTCCAATGAATCATAAAGTGTGAATACGGTTGTTGATAGCTTTTTCATCGTACATGAAAATCTATACTCCCTCTCAACCACAATTATCTCACATTCACAGGCCTCCACCATCAACTCACGCTGAGACGATGTAGTGCCCACACATACGGAAAAACACTCAGTCTGCCACAACTGCCCGATCGGCAGTCACGCTGACATCCGTCGGGAACATCCACGCTCATGTCACGAAGACACACAGGCATTCTCACCTGTATGAGCAAACACCCAAACATAAAGCAAGACAGACATTCACGTAAATCCAATCATACTCTCGTACACCACACAGACCAAAACCCACAGTCTTATGTATACTCTACACCAGCACAGAGAGGCATATTGAGGGTGTGGGTGTTGGAATGGTTGTGAGTGTTTTTGACCGAAACAGTCACACCCACATCCTCTTTATCTTATCCAATTAACACCCACACTCACACCCCACACTAGTGCCCGGGTGACCAACTTTTTTGGTTCCTCAAGATGAAAAGCTTTCCAGAAAGTTCTGGCCTTCGATTGCGAATTTTTAAAAAATAGGAATCCTTAGAGGATCAAGTTCGTCTAAAATATAGGATTTTCGATAAAAAATGACGAAAATATAGGATTTATTATACATTGTTTCTGCTCAATTTTTCTGGTTTTATTAACTTCTTCACTTGATATCTTTTTAATGAAACAAGCAAGAACAGGGGGCTCGCCATCAGGATTCTTATCTGATTCATTTCTACTGAAATGAATAGTTAAATCAAATATCGTTAGGAACTTTAATTAAAGTTTTAGAACCTTTTTCACTAATCAATGAATAATGAAAAAAAGAAGACCATAAACTTTGAAAGGATAAAACGAAAAACCTCAAATATTATTTGTCATGATTAAAAGACCGGGAATCTTTTCTTTACAATTTGGCTCAATTAGAAGCTGAAGTTACATCCATGTGAAACTTTTAGCAAACGTTCAACACAATGATAGTAATCATTCCTGAAATTTTTAGCTGAATTGGTTAAACTTTGCCTGGGTTTCGCAACTTCTCAATTTCGGCATTTTTCAGAAGAGCCAGAGACTACAATATTAAGATAGTTTCTCAGTTATTTAATATACGATTCGGTATAGCATTAAATTCAGAGTAAAGTCGTATGAAAGTGACAAATAATAGATCAACATTTCTTTAAAAAAAGACACATCCTCATGAAAGGGTCATATTTATTCTATTACGAAATCTGTTGGACCTTTTTGTTCTCTTGAATTTGATTCAGATCCAACGCCATTTTTCTAGAAACATCAGCAATTAATAAGTGCTACAATATTACAAACACAGTAGGATGAAAAACTCTGTTCTCATCTCATCATAAAGAACACAGTCCACAAAATTTAGGAAAAATATTAAACCACGAAAATTATCACCCGGTCTTACCCAATAAAGACTTAATTTTTTTTTGTACAAGAAAATAGAAAAGATCTAACTTAACTTGATTTGTTTTCAACTGAAAAATCCTTTTTAAGTGACACTAATTGAATATAATATAAGTCTAATTTTCCAAATTCTAAAGATAAATTTTAACTGTTTCATGTGTTTCTTAACCAATTTTCGAAAAACAGTATCAATCGGAAAGCAGCTTATGGTGATGGAACATAACAGGTGAAAACCAGTTAAAACCAATCTTTAAAGCTAAAAACCACTAGCACATTCAGTACTGAACAACAGTATTTAAAAACGTCATCGCAATGTAGGAGTTTGTTCAAAACATATGACCACACACTATATATGTTGTTCAACGTCTGACCACTATACTAGAACAAAAGCAAAACTTACAGTTTTTCGAAACTTTTCTCCTTTTTCGATAAAATATAGGAAAAATAAGAATTTTTATTGAAATATAGGACGAAAACAAGACTTCTTCAAAAATATAAGAATTATAGGAAATATAGGTCGAATTGCAGTCCAGAGAAAGTCTCTCTAGAGGGGCTTCCAAAATCACGAATACTACAAACTTCCCAATCTTTCATAAAAGCCGATGATTGGGGAGAGCGACGGATGGCTTCGCGAAAGCCCCTACTCTCCCTCAGGAGTTTACAAAATTTCGGAAAAAGTTCCCGTGACTGACCGTGACCGTAACTCACCGATAGTCATGGCAGTCACGCCGGGCACTACCCCACACCCACACACAGACACATACCTACACTCACTCTCACCTCACACCCACCCCATGATGCATAATAACTATTCAAAGACACCCACGCACACCCCACACCCTTTTAATGCTATTTATTCTTAACATTGAATTATTATTTTCAAGTATATATTAGACAAATTAATCTCGTGTGATTTTCAATACGCAATGCAAAACAAAAAAGCTTGTTAGCACAGCTTCTGCGGAGTTGAAATGTAGAACTCACGTGTACCTTTCGCTTTTTTATCCTGACGCATCATCTGTAAACTAAAAGACTTCTTGTCAAATATAGTTGTTTTCACTGACAATCGATGAAAAGAGCGAGAATTTATTATTTATTTCTATATTAAAAACAGAAAATATCTTTTTTCATTTGAGCTCGCTCGATGAACGTTTATAATTATTGCTATATACTCGAAAATTATTTTTCTCCACCATCGACTATTTGATGCATAGGACTATTATAATAATGCAATTTATATGTATTCGCAACTTCTACCACACTACATTATCTTTCAGTTAATCGATAATGTTGATATTGTTTATTTTTTACACTGATAAAAATATCGAATAATACTTCTCATATTAATTATATGACTGCTATGATAGATCAATATATATTATTACTCTACATCCTTGATTTTTAACATGTAAGTTCAAATTATAAAAAGAGGTCCACGACTACAAGTTTACGAATTTTAACAAATATATAATAGTTTTTTCGAATAACTATGAAACTATTGAAATATTGTATAGCAGTCGAACTCATATTCTTCACACTGTTTAACTTGCTTCTTTGTATTATTAAATAAATCTGCAGCGTTTTATGAGCGGTTATTGAAGTCTGTAATGGGGTAGGTAAGCCGTCAAACCTTGAACTTAAAACTTACACTCACTATTTTCTTCGAAAATATACGTGAGTTCCACAAAAGACTATTGTTTGTTTTTCAAATAAATATCATTATAAGAATGAATAAATATATCGATAATCAGTTTAACATGTTTTATTGTCATAACAATGATCTTCATATGTACAACAGACATATGTAGAATCTAATTTTAAAACCTAGATTATATTTTAATTGAGTTGAATCAAGTATTACAAATGTCATTTGTTTCATAGCTGAGGTGTCCACAGGACAGGGTCATACTTGTATGCCCTGAAAATTTCAAACAAAAATTTTCGCTGTAAAGTGTTTTCATTTGCTCTGAAAATATAATATCACAGAAAAACAAGAAAGATGCCTTTTATCAGCAGACTGTTCGCTCTATTTCACTGATTATTTTTCAAGTGAAATAGCAGAAAAGAAGAGAAAGAAAATTACGAGAGTGGACTTATGTTTATTTGTGCTCGCCGGTCATTTTCTTGTTCTTTACTACATTCACAACAAATAAAAGGATAAACTCGACTTTTTTTTTATTATTCATTCTCCAACGACTGATGATGGAAACATTACTTCGATTTCTTCTTCCTCGAGTGCTTCTACTACAGCAACTACGTCGAATGAATCAGATCATTTACAGCTACTTTTATCAAAAGACAAAAAATAAGTTTTGTATTTTAAAGTATGAATCAAAAAAACCTTTGGCATCCAGGGACGATTATTTTGCTTTCGAACAACTCTTAATGGAAAAAAAAGGGTTTTGAACGAACTCCTGGTTTCATCAGCAAGAATTTTCCTTATCGTATTTTCTTTTCCTATCTCATTAAAACTATGTTCATCATTCACTTCATGAAAATAATTACAATATGTTTATTGTACATCTATCAATAAAAAAAAAACAAAAAATTGTTTCTGTATCAATACAAGTTAGATTTCCTTTTTAGCTCTTATGTTAATCACATAAAAATATCAAACTGAAATCTTTTCAATACTCTGCAGGGCAAGACGTAATATTCTAACTTACTATTATTTTTCCCAGGGTACAAAGCAAGATACAAAAACAACGTCCTAAAATCGTAAATCCTTATTAGAAAATGTTATTGATTTATTTTATTAATATCAATTTTTTAATAGAATATATTATTTTAATTAATTATTTTTTGTCATCTATTAAAAATTGACAGTTAAAAGAAGAAATCTTGTCATTTTATAAATCATTTAAAGAGTAATCAATTGTTAGTGATATTCAAGAATAAAAAAAAAACAAATAAACTAAGTTTTTTTTGAGAGACGTTCAGAATTTCTACGTGCTTCTTCTAATTCATAACCAGGTACAAGTGCTTTATAATGTGTACCGACATTGACAAGAAATGCTGTATGTTTAACATATCCGTCACGTGGATTAACAACAGTAAGTAATTCTCCAGCACGAAAAATAACCAATTGAATGTGATATCTATCTACTATAGCCATATTAGCCATTTCGTCTCCATAGGTGTTTGGATCAGCCATTGAGTTTGTCCAATCTTTCAATTCTTTCTCACTAACTTTTTCACCAGGTCTTAATACAGTTGAATAATAATCTATATTATTCAATACTTGTTCAATAGCTCTTTCACGTAATTCACTATGATACACATCAGGTTGGTGTAATCCTACATTTAAACAAGTATATTTATTAATAATTAGAATTGTTTGAATAAACATACCAGATATGAGAGTAGCTCGAAAGGCACATGCCTTTTAACAATATAATAAAAAGAAAAAAAAAAGAAAACTAATTGTAGATCTATGTATGTCGATTCTTACTCCATCACCAGTAACTTCAACAGAATGAAGTCCAAATTGACGGTATATTTCATCATCAAGATTGTTTAAATCACTATTTAAATTACTTTTTGCTGCATTCGTTAAGTGATGAAGATATTTACCATCTGAATCTGATTGAAAACGATCGTTTCGTTCAATGGCTGCAATAATATCTTTCATTTGATCGTATTCATTAGGTATTGAATCAAGTTTTTTGCTTGAAATTAATTGACCAAGTAATTCAATTCGACTTCGTATTCCTGCACAATTTGGTTCGAGCAATCGACGTATCTTATGTATATAACAATATCATATTATATTATATAGAGAATTAGAATATTCATTTTCCGAAATGATTCATTATAATAAATAAGAAGTCAAATTTCGATCAATGAAAATCATAAATCGACAATAAGGAACATTTTGAATAAAGCTAATCCAGGTTCTTTTCTCTGGAGGGACGATCTGAAATTCCGGGAGGGCGAAAAGTTTTTTCGGGAGGGGGGCAAGTCATATAGTCCGTCGTGCGATGATCGCGAGTCTCGAAGGGTGGTCCTAGAGAACTGCAAAATGGTTCTGGTCTCGGTCCCGATCCCGCGCGACCAATTTTGTGACCGGAACTGAAACCATTTTTGGGCTGGTCCCGAAAAATTGTTTTGAATAAATAAAAGAACTCAAGTCGATTGATGATCAATAATTTCATAAAAAAGAACAAAAACGGATGTTTTTAAATATCTATTAGAATTAACATGTTTATAATATTCACATATAGACAAATAATTGACTATCTAGACGATTTGTAAGAGCAGAATCAAATATATACACATTACACGACGCACACTTAGATGCGACACCGTAATAGGTTTCTTAAAAATTTTTTTAATGTTCGCTATTAAAACCACGGGATCGGAACCAAAAAAAACGTGGTCCCGCAGTTTCCTAGCGGCTCCCCTCGAGCACCCCTCTGGATAAAACACTGAGCTAAAATCTTGCCTATTTCGTTTATTTTATTAAAATAGATTGTTTATTATATTGACAGAAGCAAATAAAATTCATCCGATCTAATAAACAATCATAATCTGAAATGATTTAGTTACTATTTGAGAGAACTATCAATTAACTAATAAAGGTGAATATTTAAAAAAAAGTTTCATTATCAGATATGATTCGATGTATAAAAAAAGAAAATAATTTCTAAAAGAATACCGGTGAATAATCATCAGATATTGGTTTTGTTTGTTCATATTGTTCAGTATTTAATTTATTGTTATTGTTTGTTGATTCAATTGAAAGTAAATTATTTTCTTGTATATGTTTAATTATTGTCTTGTTTTTGATTGATTCTCGAGATTGATCTCTCGTATTTTGAAGATTGATTGTTAAAGAGGTTCTTTTATGTAGATTAGCTTCTTGTGATTGATGATATTCAGGATTGAGTGATATCGATCTATTGTATTGAAATTTGTCAATTGTTTCATCATTTTTAAATTTATTGTTAGATGTTTGTGGTTTTTTCAGCATTTCATCAGATAATATCTGACTATTTGGAATAGAAACATAATCATGTTCCATATCTGTGGAACTATTGACAACAGAACGAGTACTCTTCAAGCTGTGAACATTTTCGTTATTGGGAAAGGAATTCGATTGTTCATTATAACGTTGGTGACTATCGATTTGATCGTCTTGCAGTTGATTATTGTCTAAATTTCGTTTGATATTGTTTTTATCATTGGAATCTGTTTGATTAGATTTTAAGAAATAACCATTAGGTTCTTCATTCTTAATATAAGAGTAAGACTTAAAAGTTAATTGGAAGATAATTTATTTAGATGATAGGTGAATATTTTAAAGATAATTACTAATTTATCAACAAATATCTAACAAATGTGATACATTGATGAATTGAGAAAATTCAAATATGATTGAAACTGTCTGATCAACGTTTTGTTTTTTGTGTACTCAAAAAGTGAGTACACTCTACTATCGATCAGTGTGTCCGGCCATTTCCACAATAACTTTTGAAAGGAGAGTGCGATCTTGATGAAATTTTGTACAGTATCGTTTCAACAATGTCTCGGTCGAGTTCGAAGATGAGAATGATTCGTCGAGTCATTGCTGAGTTATCGCAAAAAAGTCATTTTTTCTTATGATTTTCTATGTGATTATTGATCTATCTCGATTTTCGTAAAAGAACTTTTCCTCTCATAATCAAACAACATCTGACGGTATTATATACCATTCGAAGGAGAATTTCACGAGCTACAAAATGGTACATAAAACATTAGGAAACAAGAAGGCTAAGTCACACTTAAACAAAAATTGGTTCTGTTTTTGTCCACGTTCTAATTGATCGAACATTAAAGCTTCATCTTCCAATCACAGAGATGATACTTTGAAGTTTTCTAGGGCGGAGAACTCGAATCTGAGCTCCATTTGCCTCGAAATCCTATTGGTTGAGCAGTAACCAATAGAAATCAAGTATTAGAGAAAAAAAACGACTTCCTTATGGTAATTCAAGGTGAGCAGTTCAAATCTGAGCCATATTTGCCCCAAAATCCTATTAGGTGAGCAATAACTAGTAGAAATCAAGTTTTAATAGGAAGGACTTGCTAGGATAATTTTGATGTCTACATGATGACTCATCTGTCTAGACAAGTTCAGAACCGATGAGCTGTTCAAAACGTTCACAACCACAAACTGAACTACTTGAACAGTTCTTTTCAACAAACTTAACCTTTCCAAATAGTTCGACTCTATAAGTTGATCATCAGGAAAATTATACATACCATCTTTAGGATTGGTTAGATATCTAGGACTCCTTTCGTGTGCTATGGGGCGACTCACAGGTCTGCAAGACCTATTCTATGCGATACTCATAGGTCCACAAGTCCTTTAATATAGGGGTATCAATAGTTTCTCAAGTTCTGTTATATAGGAGCACCAACAGGTCCTTAAGGACTATCTTATGGGTATTCCTATATAGTTGGCCTTGAGATCCTATGAATCCACCCATATTATAACATCCAGTATAACTTTAAGTTAAGTTCATTAGAATGAAGTTCGTCAATGTGAGCTGGTCGATCCCTATTCCTTCCTACTCTCCAGGATGATTTTTTTTAGACAATTTGATCAAAACCAATCTGTCGTCAATAATATTTTACTTTTTGAAGTACACATTAAACTCGGATTTAAATCCGAGGTTTCCACATTTATTAACTATTTGATTTTAAAAAAATATCTATATACTCATATAGTTATGTCACTTATACAAATCGATTTATTAATGAGGAAAATTTTTTCATACCTGTCTGTTAACGTTGTCTGAATCGATCTTGTCTGCCATAGTTTAACTTGTTTGTTTTAATAAAGAAATATTCGAAGATAATTAATGAATGAATATATGTTCAATGAAAGAGATCGTTTCTCATCAAGAAAAAATATAAATATTTTATATGAATAATTGACAATAATAGAATTTATTTATAGTCTAATAAAAGTAGAATTCTTCTTCTATTTTACTATCTGAAAATTGATTTTGTTCTAGAATTAGAAGAATGAAATAATATTCAAATAGTTGTTTAGAGTGAATTTATTTTTTTATTGATTTAAAATAATTTTTTAAAAAATGTCCGAGATTGAAATAAATATAATTAATGCTCGATCAATTACTAAATAAATACAATTTTGTAATTTAAATCAGTTCGGTTTGACAGTCGACTTTTTTCTACTTCAGCATATGTTTGATATGTTCACATGACAAGTTTTTTTATCTGTTTAATCGAAGTCTCTTCAAAAAAATGCTTTAAGACTAGAATATGGAATGAAGAGCATATGTCTCCTGTAAAACATGTCACTGTTTTTATTAAAATAGTAGATAATTTATGTTATTTTAGTACTATTCTAAAATGAAGTTTGATTATCTGAGATAATGAAACTTCTCATCAATCGATTACTTATCGAAATCAATATATTGTTAAACTATAGTGAGATTGTTTTAGCAATAAAAAGCATCATCTACACAATCGATGCACATATGAAATTTTTTATTAAAATTGAAATAACTATTGATTTATCAAGTAGAAACATCTCAAAAATTGATAATTTATAAAAGCTTAATAGTTATTTGATTATCTGTGCATCGAAGTCTGTTTTCCAGATTTTAAAATCGTATTGAACTAATAAAAAGGTATAAAACAAATTTGATTTGCTTATCATAGTCACTATTTCTCTATCATTAATAAAACAAAAGAATGAAGTTACTGAATCGTATTTAATAATTTTAAAAGAATGATGAATATATAGAGAAGTTCTTATATAATTTTAAACATATGATCATTTCGTCAAATATGACAGATTGATTAATTCAATGAATTATACTTGCAATTTGCTTTGCAATGTCTTATAAAAGTGTTTGTCTTCTTATCGATGTCGATTTTCCCGAGACAAATCCAACAAAAGCGTTGTCCACAATAGTTTCGTCCTCCATGATCACAAGTACCTTTCGATTCAGCACAAACATGAGTTCCAAACCGACAACAAGTCATGACATCACATCCTTCATGTTTCATTATTGGAGTAGCACATAATGCATTTGGACATTTCTTAGTAAATGCAAGAACAGTTACATCAGAGGCTAAATCATCGTTTCGGGCTCTTTCAGCATCAAATTCATCACAAGTAAAACCTTTATGCCATTCAATTGAGTGACGAAAACATAACATTTCTCCACAAGCATAACATGCATAATACCTATAAATAAAGAATAACTCAATAATTTTATCAATTTATTTAATCTAATACAGATCTTCAAAATTTTTGAAATTTATAAATATATAACGGTTGAGTCGAAAGTTTTCGGACAAAATGTTTGCTAATTTTTGGGCCACTTGAAAATATTTCAGACGAGTTGAATCCTATGGATTACAATCAGAATTTTGTGCTCTTTCAAAATATGATCTTAGAAATTTTGTGTCAATTTTTGTTAGAGAGTAATGGCAGAATCTTTGAAAGACCTGAAAAAATAGTTTGGATGAAACATGTGAACCGAAGTTTCTGGGCACAATGTTTGTTCATTTTGGTCTGTTTGAAAGTATTTCAAACGTATCAAAAGGTATAAGTTAGAACCAGAATTTTGTCCTGATTCTGAATATGAACTTAGAAATTGTGTATCTCTTTTTATTCAAGAGCAGTGAATAAATCTTTGAAAGGCTTTAAAAATTAATTTGGACGACGCCTAAACAGTTTTTCCTAACTCATATATAAATATCACTTTTTTCAAGATGCTCAAATTTATCTGACACGATAGTTTTGTAGAACGGACACTTATTTACAAAATGTGATATTGAATTACATTGTAGCTTTTATAGATAAGTGAAGTTATATGTATTTTTCCAGGAGCTCCTTTTTGTGGAAAATGACTTGTGGACAAAAAGTTGATTTCTCAAAAATAAGGATATAGGAAAAACGAAAATTGAGATGTCTTGCCTAACAACCAAAAAAACTCTAGTGTATTTTGTAGGGTAGATTTTGCTTCACCAACTGATAGAGAAATAAAGGTTTCAACTTTTAGTTTCGAATCGGAATAGTTAAAATATAAAAAAATTTCCCGTCTAAATTAATTTTTCAGGCCTTTCAAAGATTCCCTCACTACGCTCGAACAAAAACTGACAGAAAATTTTTAAGTCCAGATTTTGAAAGAACACAAAATTCTGTTTGTAATCGATAGGTTTCGACCCGCCTGAAATATTTTCAAGTGGGCTAAAAATTAGCAAACATTTTGTCCGAAAACTTTCGACTCATCCGTTATCACTGTTTTCATATCAAAATATTTTTTTTTGAAATAATTCTATATCTTGATATATTATCTTTTCTGATATGAAATCTAATGACTTTATTAGTTTAACAAAATGAAACACGTTTAATTGGTTTCCACCAAAAAATATTTTATTCCGAGAGAAATAGAGAATTGGAATTTGATAATCAGCTTTTTGTCTTTCCAGTTACAAGCGAGAATAACCGTTCCTCTCATAAGCAAATACTATACCTTTGTGTTTTTAAGATGCAACCATTTTCGGAATACAATTATCTGTTATCTTTTACAGACACAATGAAGATTTATCCGTGGATTTTGACTATGAAAAAGAAATTGATGAAGAATTTCTTTTGGGACTCTTCAGATCAGTTTCTCTAGTATATTGCTTATTTGATCATAACTTATTACACTGGTCAGAGTTTGCAAGAAACTAAATTGCACTCTAGAAATGCTTGATCAGTAATCCATGAAAAAATTGAACATTTCGTAAATAAGTAAGAGTTCTGCTATGAATCCATACGCTTCCTCCGCCCACCCCTCAGAAAAGTCAATTTTGGTCAAATTTATCGATTTTGCGGTTTATAACTCATTCGATAGAGCAAAATGTCTACCCTTGAATGCACTATAGTTGATTGATTTTATGATGAGATTTAAGGTCCATATTGAAAAAAATAAGGTTTTTAAAAACTTATTCTCCGCTTTCTCAAATTCAATTATTTCGATCATACCGTTTACGGGGGCAACGTATTTTTTAATAACAACTCAATTGAGAAGTGATCATTCTTTTTTTATTGTATAGAGGACATTGAGGATTAGATCCTCAATGAGCCCGATTTTTGAATTTCTCTATTGGTGAAATAAAAAGCTTACGTATTTCATTTTTATCAGCGATTTTTCTGACCACGAATTCGAGAATTTTTCGGAAAAGATTTTTTTAAAAAGCAAAGAGAATTTCAACAATCGGGCTCTATTAGAATCTAGCCCTAAGGGTACTCTACAACTTAAAAAGCGTCCCTGCATGTTAGCTCGTATCCTGATTGCGAAAATCTTGCCCGCATACAGGATACTTTTGACCAATAAATTGACTATAACTCGTTAGTATATTGGAATTTAGGGGAGATATTTCACCCGTAATCTATCTTACCCTAGACTAATATTCTCCCAAAATTTGGTTTGAAATCGGTCGAAAAATAACAAAGTTGGTTTCTAAGATAGAGGGACTGTTCATATTATCAATAATTAATCTGTTAAAAAAGAGAGATCTGTAAATGCATCTGATACTTTCTTTGCTTGTAAAAAAAAATTTCAGCAGATTCATTCGGTAAGATAAATTTTTCTCTTCACATTCTATGATTGATCTAACCGAAGAATAGCTTTGTTTAATTCTGATCATAGAACGAATTCTACAGTTAAATCTTCATTTATAGAACACAAAAGAAAACAGATGAATAGCAAACAAAACTGAACACGTATAATATAACGATATTATACAATCGAAAAATATCGAAATAATAAATAATTGACTGATAGAAACATGCAGGTACATTAGCTAGATAAGTCGTCGTAATGGTCATTCCTTTAAAAATCTCTGGCTAACAGAACTAAACTGATTAGTCATTGTTGTCAATTTGATTTGCTCAATATATATAGCTGCTAATTAAATAAATCAAATGAATAGTTCTTTTTAACTACAAGAGAACAACGTACCCAAGCTTAGTCTATATGAAACTAAGGCATTGTTTCCGTAATTTCAATACTCGTTTGATTTCTGGCTCAATAATTCGAAACTTTTCGAGGCGGCAAAGAAATTTAGAGAGCATAGAAATGTATATTTAGATTTTAAATTTAAGAATAATTCATGATAAACTGAAGATTTCTGACTGATATGTCAGCTTGTCCAAGCGTAACGCTGTGACAAAAAAAGGACCCTGGATTTTTAGAGTTCTCTCGCTAAAGTTTCAACTTCTCGTTAAAGACAACTTCTAGCTTAAATAATTCTCGAGTCAATGTTGTAGAGCGTGAAACGAGCCTTTCAACGGTAAAGAAGATTTTCCTCCAGCAATTAGTTTTCGCGTAAAAAGTCAGAAAGAAAAATGTAACGCTGTGGTACATTGAGTCTTTATTCAATTTTTCAGATACTTAGCTTGTTCAAAATGACTTGATTTCTACAGTAGTTAATCTTCCATATATTATCGTTGTTTTATGCAAGAATGAGATCGATACATCGAACTAAAAACCCATAAACTATTCAATAAACTAGGAACTGTACTGCATTCTATAAGTTCTTGTTAGCTACAAATGACAAAACTGAATAGACCATTTTGTAGGGAATCAAATTCTGCATCGAATAATAGCATTCTCAATATTGTTTGAGAAAAATTTGTGATTAATAAATACAAAATACGATTTTTGAAAATTTTTAAATTCGTTTTTCGACATCAAAATTTAATTTTTTTACAAAATTAATATCAAATTTGTAATCAGCGCAAAAATTTGCATCTGGTAACATATCCAAATGTGTTGAATTCCGAAAAAAAATGTTGAGATTTTTCAAGACTTAATCAGCGAAGTAGCGAGTTACGTGGACAAGTCGATTTATTCTATCAAATATTCAACTTGATTTAACACTGTGTCGAAAACTTTCATGTTCGATTAAACATTCTATATAAAAAAAAACAATTTTGAATAGTAAATTTCAATACGTTAAAATCTTCATTTTTTATAAATTTTCTCTTTAGAATGCTTGACAAAGATTTTGTTTTGTATGTTACCTTATTAAAATGAATGCACGTTATCTAACATACCCAAGTAAATCCTTATGATTCGATACAAGTTGTCCAGCACCGCATCCTTTGCTTGATTTGCACCATCTGAATTCTTCATTAATTTCAAGTATTCGATGTAACAATAATTTATCTACAATACCAACCAATCGTTTGTCTAATAATTGATAATATTCTTCAGGTTCGAATTTAATATTGCATGCTGGCATCGGACATTGAAATGAATAAGCTCCTTTTGATTCAATATCAGTAGAAATACTTTGTGTTAAACATGGAACACAACAATTTGATAAATGTTTACAATTCTTTGAGAGATTGACCAATTTAACATCATTTTCTGAACAAATTGAACAATGTCCTTGTCGTTCATTGTAAAAAGATGAGGAGCCATTTTTTGAAACTGTTGGAGATTCCATTTGTTTTCTATGACTTTTTCAAGTATGGAAATTTTTAGACTGAAATTAGATATCAAGTTCGAGAAATACTGAATATTATCATGTTGAATAACTTACTCTGGTATTATTAAAGCTGTATTGTTTCTCGTCGAAAGTTTGTGCACACGTCTTACCTTTCTCTTTGGGTGTTTTATAGGCATCCTAAGTAAATAGAATTTAACAGTAAAGAAGAACGCGACATTTGTGCTCTTTTCTTCTTCTTCCTTTCGATAAGAGATTTGCACAACTACACGAAATATGCTGTTCTTTTTCTCTTCTATTTCGATTCTATATGAATGGCATTATGACTCATTTTCTTTTTTTTCCAAGATGACGGCGATGCCAAGAATAAAATTAGTACAAAAATTGAGATGAAAAAAGAAGGTGTCTGTATGAATGAAGAAAATATTGATATGTAATACTCGAATAAACCATTCGAGAGAAACTGATAAAAACTCATCGCAAATACTATTAGACTTCTATTATTAGGAATTTATTGATCTCAAATGATTCACATAAATATAGATATAATATATCTTGAGATAATATTTAAAAAAAGAGAATAATAGATCTTTATGGCATTTATGAAGAATATTACAATGATATTGTTTCTATTGAAATTAATTAAAATATTATTTTTGCTGCTTCAACATACTCATTTTTATTTAATTCATACCCATATTGCGAATATCGGACCACTTTTAGCGGTAAACGAACCAGTGTGGGTGTGGATGTAGTTGCAGGTTTGGGAAAGATACTCACACCCCCATCCATCCACACCTACCCAAATTCACTTGAAAGATCACCATATATAACCGTACATAATAAAGATCAATCTGTTAAACTGAGATCAAAAACAGAATATACTATTCAAGCATTTGACTCAGTCTACGCAAGAACCTGCACGACTGGCGATGGCAATTGTTTGTATAATTCTCTATCAATAATTAATATTGGATCTGAAAAACTAATACCGTCAATGAGACTATTAGCAGTCAATGGAATGATTAATAATAGTGATCATTTCAAAAGAATTTGTAAGGCATTGAACTACTCATTTGAAGAACAGATGAAACGAACTGTCACGGATAAAAATGGAGTGGAGAAGTTCAAATTCGAGCCCTTTCTATAGCCTTATGTCAGCATATTTATTCATATGTTAAATTCGACAGTGATCCAAAAAATGGACACTATATTCCATCTAATATCAGTATACAAAAATTGATCGATCGATTCGATAAAGGAACCGCAGGTGATCATCTTAAATATATTGGATATAAATCAGATATGAACAAATTGAGTTTATGTATTCATTTCACCGGCAATCATCATGATGCTCTCTTACCCTTTCTAAATAATCCTCAACAATTTATACCCAAACATGACATAATTAATATGAGTTTATAAAATAAAGGAAGTTTCCATAAACTCATCAAAATAATTAATTATAATAGACAAGTTTTCGTTTACGTAAATAAATAAATGCTCCAGAACTAACTCCTTGCCGCGTCCTACGGGACAAAAAGAGGGCATCGACAAGGCATAAGTGGCAGTTCCTTACTAGAGGTAAACAAGTTCAGCTCTAGTTCAGAACTGATGAACTGTTCAAAACGCTCACTACCACAGACTGAACTATTTGAACAATTCTTTTCAACGAATTGAACCTTTCCAAATAGTTCACCGCTATGAGCTGATCATCATGAAAAGTTACACATACCATCTTCAGGATTCCTTAGGAACATCCCAGGCTGGATATTTATGACTCCCTAAGTGTCCTATGGGTGGTGCCCATAGGTCCTCAAGGCCTATCTTATGAGATACTCATAGATCCACAAGTCCTATTATATAAGGGTACCAATAGTTCCTCAAGTGCTATTACATAAGGATACCAATAGGTCCTTAAGGACTATCCTATGGGTATCCATATATAATAGGCCTTGAGGACCTATGGATACACCCATACTATAATATTTAATCTAACTTTACGTTCAGTTCACTTGAAAAGAACTGTTTGAAAAAGTGCAATTTGTTCAGAAGAACTATTCGGGCAGTTCTTTAGTTCATTTGAGTGTAGTTCGTGAACGTGAGTCGGTCGATCCCTATTCCTTACTGCTCTCTAGGATGATTTTTTTAGACAGTTTTATCAAAATCAATCTGTGGTCAATAGTACACATAACATTCGGATTTAAATCCAGGGTTTCTACATTTATCTTTTTTTATGAAATCGAATGTACTTTTGACATATGAAGGTGGTTTTTCACGTTTATTTGATATTATTTTTGTTAACTATTTTGATAAGTTGTAATTATAACTACCAGATGATGATATAATGGGACGAATCGGATAATTAGTCTTATAAATTTTTAATTGACCATAGACGACAGAAGGAGAGGCACATGTAGAATGAAATTGATAAAATAGACGTTTGGTCAATTACTTTTCGTTTATATAGTAAACCTAAATATTTATCTAATTCATTTTCTTTTTCTTTCATTAGATTGACTTTAGTTAATTTGAATTGGTTATTATTGAAAATTCCATGTGATTTTTCAATATAATCTTTCTTGTTCATCACAACTAATTATGGCATTTCCTTTGTGTCGGCTTTGCAAATAATCATGTGCTTATTGTTCTTCAAAGATCTTATTGCTTCATATTCTGCATCACTTATATTACTGATGAATTTCTTTTTTTTTTGTTTTGATTAATTGTTAACAATAATCATGCATTTTATGACATATTGTCTTGAAAACCGATGGATGACAGGATTCTTCGGTTTTGCACTTATTTAATTGAATATCAGTTTGAAATTCCAAGTTATTAGTGAGCTTGGCTTCTATGCAGAAGTGCATACCTAGGCATAATAGTCGTTCGTCAACCATTGCTAATTTATAACTCGAAATATTGTGCAAAACTTTCGTTTTCAATGTCTCATAATCTTGTCCCATAATTCCATTAGGGTGTGGGTGTTCATCTTCTCTTAATCCACACCCACACCCGCCCCACACCCACACCCACACCCACCCCACACCCACATCCACACCCTAGTAAAAAAACAAAACAAAAGATCTACCTATCTTCTATTATATTATTATTCATAGGTTATTCGTTGATGATAATATTTGAAGGGTGTAGGTGTGAGTGTAAATTGAAGAGTAGGCATAACCACATTCATACCCAACCTTGAAGGTGTATTATGTTAATATAGACAACTAAATTTCATAATTTAAGTCTTTTGCCTAATTTTTCCCACGATGAGAATGTCCCTCTTCTCTGGGTATTTTTTTTACCTCATGTGTACGTCGACTATAAAATGCAAGGAAGAATGAAAAAAAACAACATCACATCAATAAAATTATTTGCTTGCTCACATAGAACGTGTTAACTGTAAGCAAATAACTTTCCACATTTCTTATTCTTGCAGTTTTAGCCAACATACATACACACTTGTTAAAATTATCTACTTCTCTTTTTGAATTGAAAAAAGAAAATGGCATCAAATCTTTCAGCTGGTGGTTGGAGAGTTAAAATGGTCTCTCTTCCTGCGTCTATTACCTTCTTTCAGCTAGCTAAAATATTAAGTCTGCCGACGTCTCGTATTTTCGTTCCAAAAGTCAAAAATAACGAGATTCCTTATGCATGGATTAATGGTTTTGCCAATGAAGAAGAAGCCAACACATTTGCAACACAATGGTCAGGTTTATCAATTTCAGGCAAAACAATCCAATGTGTCACAGCTGCTCCGAGAACTAACGCAAGAGATACACTAAATTCACCTCGTGAATCATTAGCGTTTGGCATTAAAACATTACCGGATAATAAACTTGGAGTACGTTCTAATAGGAAAGAGAAAGAAGAACGAGAGAATTATAATCCATCCACTACGACTATACCTCTTCTGACTACTATTACAAGTGAAATGCTCAATATTACAATAGATGATGATGACACTAAAAAGAAATCAATGAAGCTACCACCACATTATTCACCTAAAAACCCAAATTCGCCGAAACAAGCTGACAAATCAGGCCAACAGTTTCAGCAAGCGGAGACATCAGGTAAAGTATTATATACTAGCAATCAGTTAGCTTTATTTCTATGCTTAGATTTAAACAATCAATTATTAAATTTATTTCGGATGATGTATCGGTCCGAGAATTTTTCATAATTTGTGTTCATCATAATCCACATATTTTTTAATCTTGTAACCCATAATGATATTTTCATCGAGATTTTCCCCATTTACCAAAATTTTGAAAAGTTCAATGTTCGATTTTTAACATCAAAATATTTTGCTTTAAAAAAATGTCAGATTCATAATCACTTTTAAAAACTGCGCCTAGTGATACATTTAGAGTGTTTATTTTGAAAAAAATTCAAAAACTGATTAATGAACTGCTGTCTTACATGGACAAGCCGAAAAACTGATGTACTTGGTTAGAAGACAAGCAATCAAATGCCTCAATCATTATCACCATTCAGTGCTATCGTATGATATGATTTTACGACAATATTTTTGAGACTCGTGCTTTTCTTATAATGAACACAATCTGAATACAATTGAATCATTTTGCATTTAAATACAGCCCTGAAAATAATCAGACATCCTGAGTAATATCTTTTACCTGACAATTCATTTTTTTTATAAAAATACACAATCTAGTGATCTTTGAAGCTCATCCAGGAATATCTTATACAGGACAATAAAAATGATCTCCCCATGAACGATATTTCAATGAAAGTTTTTCTTCCCAGTGTATCAGAAACTCAATCAGCGCTTTTATAATGTTCTCTCGGTTAGACGTTAGAATAAACCAATCGTGCTGGAGGGTAGCAGAAAATTGACTCAACCGATACTGTAGCTAATAAATTCGATGTAGTTACACTAACATTTGTCACTATTAGAAACAATATTTCGCATTTTTATTTAGCCTATGTGCAACAGAGCAGGGCACAGTCTTCGCAGGAACCACATTTCGTCTGCCAGTTCCAAA